GACCAACCAAACCTCCCAACCAAAGCATGTCCTCTTCAGGTAATACTCAATTTCCAGGCCTTTGTTTCTCCCCACAACAAATCTCACCTGTCCTGGGTCTGCTTCTCAGCAAACTGTCCCAGGCTGTGGATCCTAGCTGTTTCAAGTCTTGGAAAATGGGCCTCCTCCTGGAACCACCTTTTCAAAGAGGCTCCAGGGATTTCTGGGTATCTCCTGGGGAGACTGATAGTGGGAATCAGAACCATATGGATGATTTATTTTTCAGTGAACTACACGTCAGAAAACAACGCTAGTCCAAGGTGAGCTCAGCACCCCTTCCCCTCCATATCCTCAGACCTAGCCTGGTGAATATCTCCAGCCAAGGCCAGAGACCAGACAATTGACCTCAGGGAGATTTAGGGTCAGAAAAGCCTCCAGGACAAAGAAAGTGAACAGCCTCCCTGCTCACACTCACTCTTCTGTCTCTGTGAAACTGGAGAGGAAATCAAGAAAGAGAAAGATTCTTCTTCACATTGTCGATCGATGCTTTTTTATACCAATAAGCCCCCAAAAGGAAACCTGGAGTAAGTGCACTAATCTGGGAGTTGGGAGATCTGGATTCATGGGTGTGCAGGAGCTAATGGTTAAATTTTCAGTGTGAGCATTTACCCCTCAGAAATCTGCAAACCCTATAAATCAGGGCTTGATTTATTTTGTTGATTGTGCAGACTTAAGAAAGTTAACCAGGCAGATTAAACTTTATGTACTTTGCATTTCTGGGGAACCGTTGTTAAACATTTATCTGCATACCCCTGTCTGACTTTAAAATTTTGGCTCTAAAACTTATTAGTTGAGTGGTTGTAGGAAAGTGACTTAATAATCTTTCTGTATCTTGGTTCTTGTCTCTGAAAAATAGGGATAATACGTAAACTCCTTCCCTCCAAAGGTTGTTGTGATGACAATTCTGTAAAGTGAGGAAAAGAAGGTGCTACAGAAATGATTGGGGGGGAAGGGTGCAGGAAGGATTGGCTTTTTTTTTTTTTCAATTGGGTCTGTGATTTCCCTAGTTTAGGGAACCAAGGCAGGGCCACACCTTCTTTGCAATTTACGGTGTTAGGCTGGAGAGTTACTTGGAACATTGAGAGTTAAGTGACATGTGGTAGACAAACCTATGTCCTCCTGAGTCTGAGGCCAATGCTCTACCTACTACTCAACATTGCCTCTCAGATGTACTTAAATGTAATATTAACCACCCCCACCCCCCCAAAGAACAGAAGCCAGACAAGAGGGATGGGGCATGGAGGCTTAAATTCCTAGACCTCAGTCAACAATTATGCTCAGTCAACAGCTGCTGGAGTAGATGGTGTTCTGAAGGGAGATGGAGTAAAGTAACACCATAGCTGGGCTCAGCCAACCTGAAGGTCACAGTAAATGGAGAAAAGGGGTCTCCAGAAGGATATTGGTACTTGTTAGCTACCCATCCTGGGTCCTTGTACCAGATGTCCAGGGGCAGGAGCTCTCATGTCAGGATTTAGGCAGGACAAGGGCTCTCTCTTCACAAGCATTTATTAGGGAACTAGTATGTATGTCTGATTTCCCTCTTTTCATCCCTGATCCTAAGACAAGAAGAGAAAACTCTCCCTTTTCTGTTCCTTTTTCAGAAGAGGTTGGCATGTGGATGTGAGATCATGATTTTCTGTCTTTCCATCCTCCTACAGCTAGAGATCTAGGAGAGAAATGTCAGAAGGGCCAAGAGATAGAAGGAGGAATCTTCCTAGCAGAGCGTTTGTCTTTGTTTCCTTTTTACTTGATAAATTTATAAATTTGTAAAATAAACAATGTGCTCTCTGGGAAAGTTGAAGGTTTCAGCTGAGGCAGAGATGCAAGGATGAGGGTCTTTCAGGGTCTTTAATAAATGAAGTATTCCACACCTTAGGGGATTCAGAGACTCTGAGTAACTTAACTGTGTATGAAAAGAGCAGGGGAGACAATGAACTTGCTACAGGGCGTGGACTGCTCCATTACCTTAATCTCTCAGCCGCTCATTTTGCATAAGACCCAATAGTAGTATGAGAAATGTTACTTATTGGTCACCTCACCTAGGGAGCTCATCTCTGAACCAGGAATAATTGTTTAACAGAGGACTCTATTCTTTTACCTCCTTCCTGGGAAGTGTGTGGATGTATTGAGAAGAAGGATCATGGAACCATTAATATAGAATTGGAAGGGACCTCAGAGGTCATTTGAGCCATCTCGCTCATTTTGCAAATGAAGAATTATGGAAGACTGTAGGAAGAAAGGGATAGAGGAAGGGAGGGAGAATGAAGATTTCTGTGAACTCAAGGATACTAGAGGCAGGCACCTTTCTTCCTAAGAGGGATAACTGGGCTGCCCGAAATAGTCTGGGAGCTGAGCTGGGATCTGGATATTGAGGCAATTAGGTAGTATTATGGATAGAATTCTGGGCCTGGAGTCAGGAAGACCTGAGTTCAAATCCAGTCTTTTTAGTTATGCGACCCTGGACAAATCTCTTAACCTCTGTTTGCTTCAGTTTCTGTAACTGCTGAAAAAATGAGGATATGGGAGGGGAAATAGCTTGTCCAGAATCACATGAGTAGTTTGTGATGGGGCCCATACTTTAGTTCTGTTTCCAATTCCCGGCATGGTGTTTTCCCCACGTCACATGGGAGGACCAACATACTGAAAAGACTGTTGAACTTGGTGCCAGGAAAACTGGGTTTGGGTCCTAGCTCTCACACTGTCGTCTAGCCTACCTAACCCTTCATTTTTCTCATGTGGAAAATGAGAAAATTATACTAATTATCTCAAAAGTCTATTGTAAAGAAAGTGCTTGTGATCCTCAAAGTGCCATAAAAATAGGAATCATTGTCCTTATTATTGCTATGTTTTCCAGGGGATAGCCCTAAGGTAGTGTTGGGATATGGGAATGACTTCTGCTCAAGGTGTAGGGGCTGCCTTGCCCAGGGATGGGCAGAATCACTTTCCCATTATAGGTACGAGGCCACTATCTCAAATCCAGGCAAGGCTTTGATTCCAGGAGGTGACCTGCCTGGTTTGGATGAGGTAGGCTTGGACTCCATGGTTTAGTGGAGAGAGCACCAGGATTGTGAACCTCGTACCTGAGTCTGAATCTCAGCTCCTCCACATATAATCCGTGTGACCTCAGGCAGGTCAATTAATCTCCCTGAGCCTCTGCTTCCTCATCTATGAAATGAAGGTGAAGGGCCAGATGGTTTCTGATGGCCCTTCCAGATCTGTGATCTCATGATCCCTTCTCTGTCTGAATCCAGAAGGAGGCTTCTCCTTGCAGCTAGGCCTCTCTGCTGACCCTGCCTGGCTGAAGAAGCTGATTTGACAGTTTCATGGGCAATACCTCTGAGAGACTTTGGGGCCTTGGAGAAGTCCCCAGAGACAAGCAGCCTCTGTGGGCGAGGACGGTATAATTAGAGCCTGCGCCGTTCACCTCTGAGGGATGCTTGAAGGATCTCCAAGCACAAAATGTATATAGCACTTTCTAATCACAAGCCCTTTATATTTATGACCTAATTTAAGCATGTATGTGCACAGATTCAGAAGTGTATGTATATGTGTGTGTGTGTGTGTGTGTGTGTGTGTGTGTGTGTGTGTGTGTGT